TCTAAGCTGTATTTTTTCTTTTTTTTTTTACATTGGTACATGTCTCAAAGAGCAATTTTCAGCTTCCAATGCCATTTATTTGATCTTGGGGGGTCCCTGGGCAGTTTTTCCCCCAAATAAAAACCCAAGTTGGCAGAGAAATGTAATTTAGCAGCATTTAATTTTTTATTTCTAAATGTCACTGCTTGATGTGCAGATTTAGGGAATCCCTTATGCATGTTATTTAAAGAAATTTTGTATTTTGAATGTTTCACTTTAAGATTTATTAAAACAGCTGCTCTCTACTGAAGGGTATTTTTTTGGGCATTGATACATGCTCCCCGGGGTAACACCTAGCTACCCATACCCATGATCATAACTCCCTGTTTAGCCTTGAAATTGGAGAGAATTGAAAATACGCAAATTCTTTAAATAACATGCTCGTAGCGTGCCTAAAAGCTGCACATGCTGTTTCCGGAAAAATACAATGCTGTCCTTTACCCCTGTTGCTGCCAAGGGCTTGTTTTGCATTATTTGCACACGTTATAATCCACATTTTAGGCCTGAAAATTATTAAAACACCCCAAACATTATATATTTTCTGAAAGCAAAGACCCTGTAGAATAAAATAGTGCAGTTGCAAATGTTTATGTCACACGACATTAGCGCAACTCTTTATGAAACCCACATATTTCGTGAAAAATGCATTTGTTAATTTTAGTACCCAAAATACAATATAATAAACATTCTTTTTGTAAAATATAGAAGATCAGGTTATGACAAGTTAATAGATACCCAACATGCCCAGGTAAAAAAAAATTGCATGCATCCATGAAATAGCAACAAAATATGGTACACCAAATTTTCCATAGGCAATGCTTTAAAAGCCACTACAAGTCATCAGTTTAGAGATATCTGTGAATATCACTCTCACTCTGGTGCACGCGGCGTTACCTAACGTGTAGTGCAATCGTTTTCATACATAGGCGCACCCGATGCGTGTTTACGTTAATACGTGAACGTTCGCTGGGCTGTATTTAATGGTTTTCCTTATTTTTACATTTATTTGATCTAAACTTGTTTTTTTTTTAACTTAACTAAATTGCTATCACATAAGGGGGCTTACAATCTCCCTATGTGATTGCAGACTAATAGTGACATGTACTCTTGAAGGTGTGATGTGATAGCATACTAATGGTGACAGGTACTCTACAAGGAGACACTAGGGGTCCTTGTGTAACCTTTCCACTCCAAATAAGCGATTGGAGCACAGATTGCACTCCAATAGCTCATTGCCCGGCTTCTGCAGCCAAGCAATGACAGCTGAGGAACCGGAAGTGATGTAATCAGCGTCGCTTCCCATTACATTCAGCGCGGAGGAGAGCGACAAATGGACGTTCGCCAGTTTCCTTCCCTGCTTCCTGACGACACCTGTGATGCCGGGTCTTCAGGAAGGTACAGTGGAGCCCGGGAAGCAAGGTCGTGGTGTTGGGTGGGGGGTAAGGTGTGCACTACACTGGCCCCTGGAAGCTCAGTCGGCTTTACACATGTAAACAGAGTCCCAGGGGCTATAGCCACCCCTGTTGAAATGGGCCCACTGCCAGTGGCGTATGACATACGTTGGTGGCAGTGAAAAGGTTAAAAGGGACATAAAGGAAGGTAAACAAAAATGGCTTTCCCCAAAATATTCCAACCAGTCCTTTATCTGGGGAGGGGGGGGGGGGGGGGCAGGAAGCAGTGAGCATGCAGCCCACCCTCCTAAACCAGACCAGGCCACCAGGATACATGCTTCCTCTTCTACCTTACAAGATTCCTTGTCACATTGTTGAGGGACAAGGGCCTCTTCCCTACAAGCAGCAATGTAAATCCGTGCCGCCACATTGACCTGCCATCCAATGATGCTTCCCCATCACTAAATGACAGACCTGAAGTTAGACCCAAACCCAAATATCATCCCTAATTAAAATGACTTAACCAGAAACCTGCAGGTATAATAGGTGTTATGTCCTCATCTACTAAGCCCAGATACAGTATCTCACCTTTTTCCTTTGGAATTATGTTCCTTTTTTATCTAGCTGTCATATTTATCATGTCATCCTTTTATTTCATCTTACTTCCTGCATACTGTTGGACTTAGTCTTTTTTCAGCCTTGAAATTCATATTACTTCTATTCTTTTGATATATAGCCACTGGCTTTACTTCATGTATTAATCTTCTTGCCCAACATAACACGAGGGCCTTGAGTAAAATTTAAATCAGGTTCAATTATATTTTACAGGACAGATGTTTAGTGCCTGATGTATAAAACTGTCAGTACTAAAAGCTGGCATTATTTCCCCACAGCCACCAATCTGATTCAGACCTGTCTGGAAAGTTTAAATGTGATTGGTGATTGTTGGGTAATAACTTAAATTCGTACTGCTATCACATTGATTTAGCAAGTCTGAAATGTGCTGTGCAGAAGATATCTAAACTGGCTAAATTATAATGTCTTGATCTGCATCATTCAGTATACAGCATAAGTTCCCTTATGGTTGCTACACATTCTCTTATTCTCTTATATGTATAGGGGTAAGTAAAATGCAAATTAAAGGTATTGTTTTATTAGTAGAGGGATAGGAAATATAAGGAAGTCTACTGTATAAGGGAAAATGCTTTGGCTAATAAGGGAAGCAGGAAATGTGCAGGCATATTTCTTGATTAGCAGTGCGTTCAACTGTGTGCAGTACACGATTGTTACATTTGCACGACTCATCCCATCTTGTGCAAAGGTTGGTTCAGATAGATCGGCTGGAATAAAACTAAACCAACTGATGACATGGCACAGCACTTAACTCCGATTTAATCGTAGTGACACTGTCACCACAGGGTAGCCTATAAAATAGAGCAACACTGTTAAGAAGGTTATAGCTATAGATATATATACCTACTTTTCCAGCTCCTATTTCTTGAAACACCACTTTACCATTTTGCAATCACTGCAGGTGTTCAACTTTAATGCTGCACGTTGAATTTCCTTATGCCAACTCATTTGTCACTACAGGGCATATGATTTGACTGGAGCAACAATGTGTGCAATGTGGGTGGCAGGTATGGGTCCATCCAAAAGTGTGGAATACATACAGTAGCCAGGAAATAGTGAAGTGACGCCATTTCAAAACCCGGGCTGCCAGAAAGGTAAGTATAAACAAGCCTCTTTACTGGCATGCCCATTTTGTTTAAAAGTGATCCAGTGGTGACAGTTGGTGGGGGTATGCTGATGTCTTGAGTTTGTTACCTGTATCATACACTTCATAGTAGCAGCAATCATAGCTATATTTCCAAATTTACACGCACATGGAACGTTAGTTGTCCCATTAATCCTTCAAAGCACTGGAACAAGTGGAAAGTTTAAATTTATATTTTTTCAGAAACTTGAATGATTGTGTTTGTACAAAAGGGAACTCCTCTGTTCTATCAGTGGCATAAAGTTTAGGACATGTTTTACATTTCTAATAGGGACTGGGGAAGATTCATATTATAACACTATAATTTTTTAACACTATAATTCATATTATAACACTATGGGGTCTATTCACAAAGCTGCCGAGGGCAGCCGAAAGCAGGCTGATGTGATCGGCTCGACTGAGCTGCTCGGCTGTGATCGGGAGCTGTACGGGCTATTGTGAATAGCCCGTACAGCACCCCCTCGGTTCTCCTGAATTTCAATGTAGCTGTATTACTCCAAAAATGCTTTTAAAGAGTAGAGATGAAAAGGTTGATCCACTGGGTTTAAAATCTAACCCATATTAGCTGATTAGGAACATGTAGACATCCACGAAAAACTGCAAATTTGTCAGACACACTGACTTTAGCACATTCTGAGTCAATGGCTTAGAAGATGTGTGCAGTTCGGAAAAGTCAGCTATGTACATACATGTTCTTGGCTACTGACTCAAACTATGGAAAGTTGAGGGCCAGCAGGAGTCTACAGCGAAATCAAAAGAAGACTAATAATTAGATGTTTGTTGAGACTATACAATTTGCTCACTTGCAGAGCTACTTCACCCATAAAAATGTCCGCATTCAGCAAACTTTCACTAATCCCCTGCTGTGTGTTTTTATTTCCACCTTCTTCGTCGTTACTGTGTCCTGTAGTAAAGTTGTGATTGAAGGGTGGAACCAAAGCTTGCAGTTGTGAAACACGCAGAAGTGTTGAATACCAGCAGCCATAGCACTGCAAGAGAAAAAAGATTAGAGTCCCCATCCAACAGAGAGGTAAGTATTCTTCTACTTCTTTTACAAACTGGTCACTTTAATTCTCCAGCATCTAAAAAAACCTGAACGTTTTGTGTGGGTGGATTAACCATCTAATGTGAACTGCTATGAGAGATTTGGAGTAATATGGTTTTACCATCTGTGTCGTATGATCACCCAATGCTTCAATATAATTGTGTAACAGAAATTTTAAGTTATTAATTTCTTCTCCTCTGTAGATTTTAATAGAATTAGGAGATGTATCACTCAGCAATCACTCAACATATTCTTGTGCATTTTTATTTTCATTAAAGTATACTCCTGCAAGATTAATTTTATGAGGCTAGTATTCTAAAACTGCTCAACAATTTCTTGCAGTAAACTTATTTTTTTCTTTGTTTTTAATTACCTTGTTAGCCCCAGTATAAGGTTTAGATCTCAAAGTATAAACATTTAAAATACTAGTCTTAATTTCCCAAGGTTTTATATATTCACTGTGTAGCTAAATGTAAACCAATTAAAACATTTACATTTTTTTCAGGGTCTCCATAACAGAGGGAAAAATCCTAAAACGTCTCAGATAATGGAGCAAATATGGTCAAGACTTTCATTGGATTTACATAGGAGATGTTACACATAACTAGAATGTCGTCATGCCGCATGGGAACTTTGAAGGGACATAATTTATTTTTCTGACATGTTTTGATTGAAAGCTACATTAAATAATTTCAGTTGACAGAACAGCTAATCACTGGCATTTTTGTTTTTTGTTTTTGACTTTTTTTGTTTTTTGCTCAATTTTCATTTTAAAGTTTTTTGGAGAGGGGGCATGGCCAAACCTTTTTTTAGTCTACAGAAATTTCTAAGGCGGGCTCAATTTTTTCTCTTCTTTCTAACCGTTGCTTACTTAATGGCTGGAAGTCTGCTACTTCTACAAAGGTCTTATTTGGTCATCCAGCAAAACAACAAAGGAACTTCTGGTGCACAGGGCTTTTCAGTTGACAGCTTGACACCTGTGGATCATAGGATGTTTCAAACCACGTACTGGAATGCTAATGGATTTATGGCTGGAAACCTTCAAAGCAAGCCATTGGCTAATTCAAGACATACTTTGCTTGATCAGCCCCTTTGGCTTATATCCCGGAATTCAGAGTTAAGGCAACTGAGAAGAAGATGGTTTCACAATTTTGTAAATGACCGAGAACAAAATCAAGGCACAGTCTTAAAATTACAAAAGCACACAGTTGTAAATAAAGGTAGGTACCCCTGTTTAACTACAGATAACAATATATTCTGTCACACAGACATGTCATTTTGAATTGTTCCGATTTTAATAAATATAATTTAAAAATATGGCAATGTGATCTCAGAATTGTGAGTTAAAATAAATGTCATTAAAAAAATGTAATTAAAGGCACACAAGTAATGTGATTAATTGTGCAGTTTCTCTTTTCTTGGAGTGATACTCTGTTGGATCTTTAGATTGTTGGAAGTGAACAACATAACATTAATTCTATTTTTGTTCATAGAATTACATAAAGATGTAAAAGGATACCCGTATTTGCCGGCGTATAAGGCGACTGGGTGTATAAGACGACCCCCTAATTTTCCACTTAAAACATAGGTTTTGGGCTATACTCGTCATATAAGACTACCTCACTTCAGAGGCAACACCATTTAAAAACATCATGGATGGATGTGCGGTAATACTGTATGTACGGCAGCTTCGGCTACATACAGTATACCGCGCTGAGCCAATCACGGCGAGCAATTTATTCTATTAATGAATACAAAGCCTGCTTGGATTGGCAGAGGTTGTGTACGCCGTGATTGACTCAGCTACTGTATGTAGCCAAAGCTACTGTACATACAGTATTACGGCACATCCAGCGGGCTGACAGATTAGGGATGTTCGTTTTGGGCCAGCTTGGCCCAAAAGAACTAAAGGTATACATTGTATACCCCGCGTATAAGACGACCCCCCATTTTGGGGGGATGTTTTTAAGTATAAAAAGTAGTCTTATACGCCAGCAAATACAGTATTTGCTTTAAAGGTGAATTGTTTTTTCCCGGGGTTTCTCAAAGGAGCGGAAGAACAAGAAGGGATGAAGAGCAAGGCTAGACTTGAGTGATATGTCTTATCCTTTCCCCTTCTTCATCTAAAAAAGTGAACAGATAAAAACACAGACACAATACATACAGTATATGGCACTTACAGGTCATGTCTCTCTTCCAGCATGTGATTGGACAGTGAAGGGAATGCAGCAATTAAGTAACACTTACAGGTCTTGTTCCTTTCTCAGTTTGTGATTGGACAGTGAAGGAAAATTGATGAGCATATCTCTCTGTCACTCTACTTTTTATTCCTGTCAGCATGTTCTTTGTTAGCACATGAGCACTAGAACACAACTTACTCACTCCTTAAGCAACTTTTCCCTCTCCAAATCTGACCCCTGCTGTGCAAGTACTGCAAGAGGCTGATACCTAGTCAAATTCAGGTACATACACTGACTGCATTTAAAAAAAATACATTTAATGTATGAATAAATACAGAGCTGCAATGCGGAGCTTGGTTCTGTGTACAGCACAGGAGTAGATTATTTATTTTGTTAATTCCTGTCATTGCTGTATTTTACTAGGGCTGGAACATTTTTTTTTTCAATAAACTGACTATACTGTACATCTAGTGCTGAAGTTGAAGTCTATGTTGATGTGACAGTTCTGCTCACTACCACCCAGAAAGGTGCCAATTGTCTGTGTGTATCTGGAAAAAGTGCACTGTAATCAAAATAATTTACAAAATTGTAGAACTTAAGTTTCATTTTTCAGGGAAAATGAACTAATGACCAAGAGTGTGCTGTAGTCACTTGCCAATAGCTTTTATGATGTAGCTGTAAGACACGATGAGGAGGTATAATGATTAAATGAAATGCACAGCAGAATATATATATATATA